CTTATGGAACATTTTACAATGTACCATGATGGTATTGTTCCTTATGGAACATTTTACAATGTACCATACTGGTGTTGTTCTTTATGGAATATTTTACCACGTACTATGATGATGTTGTTCTTTATGGAATGTTTTACCATGTACCATGCTGATGTTGTTCTTTATGGAAACCATGTACCATACCGGTGTTGTTCTTTATGGAATATTTTACTATGTACCATACTGGTGTTGTTTTTTATGGAATGTTTTACCACGTACCATGATGGTATTGTTCCTTATGGAATATTTTATTACGTACCATGCCGATGTTGTTCTTTATGGAATATTTTCCACGTACAATGCTGGTGTTGTTCTTTGTGGAATGTTTTACCACGTATCATGCAGAAGTTACTTCTTAATTTAGATCAATATTAGATCAACCATTTACTATATTAGATATATTATTGTTGTTGGTTTTAGAGCAAAGCCATACTGGGCTATCTACTTTGTCCACCGCGGGTGCATGAAACCCCGGATTTTAGTGTTGTAATTCCGTAAACTTACTGTTATCTTACCAGGAGACACTTTATATACCAATGGCATTTGATATTTAAGCAAAAAAAAAATTATCTTACTTTACCAAAGAAATATTTATTTGTTTGTTTATTTTTCGAAGTTCGCAGTCCCCCACTGGCTCAGTGGTAAGTCTGTGGGCTCACATTGCTAGAAACCTGGTTTCGATACATATGGTGGGCACAGCGCAGATAACCCATTACATAGCTTTGCGCTTAACAACAAACAAACAAAACTACTCAAGGGCTATCTGCACTAGCCATTCCTAATTTTGTAGTGATAGACAACAGAGGGAAGAGATCTGGTCAACACCACCGACCGCGAACTTTTAGGTTACTCTTTTACCAAGGAAAAGTGGGATTGACCATCATAACGCCCCCACAGCTAAATAGAGAGCATGTTCGTGGACGGGATTCTAACCCGCGTCCCTCAGATTGTAAGTCAAATTCCTTAATCATCAGGATATGCCAGGCCATCACTGAATGATGAATCGTGTTTATGTTAAATAAAGATTGTGCTCTTAAATTATGTAATATTATAAAATATATGGTCGAAAGATCGCTGTGCTATAACATTCAAATATGATCTGTGTCTCGTAAGTAAACCGTGCAGTTCTAATATCTATAACCAAAACTGTATTTACTTCACTAGTGTTATGGACAAGAAATATGCACGTTGATTAAAATATATTTATACGTGTGTGTGTGTATTTACCTTTTTTTTTAATATCGTTTGACACGCAACCAGGCCCGGCATGGCCAGGTGGTTAGGGCGCTTGACTCGCAATCTGAGGGTCGCCGGTTCGAATCCCCGTCACATCAAACATGCTTGCCCTTTCAGCAGTGGGGCGTTATAATGTGACGGTCAATCCCACTATTCGTTGGTAAAAGAGTAGCCCAAGAGTTAGCGGTGGATGGTGATGACTAGCTGCCTTCCCTCTAGTCTTACACTGCTAAATGAGGGACGGCTAGCTCAGATAGCCCTTTTATAGCTTTGCGCGAAATTCAAACAAACTAAGACACGCAACCTACTCTGCCATCTTTTGTTGCTTAAAGACAAAACGTTTTCAAATTTATATATTTTTAGTTTCAAATTTTAGTTTCAATTTTCAGAAGAGGTTCTAAGTAAAACCTATGATTGGCTAAACGTTTATTTCACAAAATGAATAGACAGATGCTAAGATATTTCTATATCTTTAATTTAAAACACAAATAAAAAGGTACATGTCATTGTTGTAATATTAGAGGTTGTACAACATCGAATTACAGATAGTAGTTTTTTAAAGCACAGAATCACATCATGACATAGCGCCAGTGTTCAGTTTTATGCCGAAATTCTGAATTCATTTCATAGTTGCTCATACTTCTACATATCTAACGTAAAAACTAACATTCTACATTTGGTTCATGTTTTATTATAAACGTAATCACTAACATTTTGTCACACTTGTTACACTTTTATTTCTATGAAGTCGTACAGGAGTTGCTCAGTTTTAGCATGACGTTTCGGTTGTACGTAATTCAAATTGTGAAGCAAAAGCTAATAAAATCAACAATGTTCAGAACTCCTAAAATATAGGACCAAATAGTAATTATTTTAATACTATTGTACGTTTACTTCGCTCCTAGATTAGACATGAATTACATAAAACACTTGATATTTTAATCATCCCGTTGATGTTTCATGCATTAATAACAGAAGAACAAGAACAAAAATACAGATAAGCAAATGCAGTTTCTATCCAGTCCATCTGTCATTTGCCCAGGGCCGCTACCAGGTGGCGCCAAACAAGTTGGTCCAGTGAGTTTCTTTGAGCGCATTACTTCTCTATTCCATTGGAGTTTTTTTTTATTGTTGTTTTATTTTTACTTTTTAACTTGAAACAGAAATAAGATCACAAACATTCAACGACTGTGTTATATCACGTAATAACCTCAAGCACGATGAAGGGAAGGACACAGAAACCGAACACAGAAACTGATGACGTCACACTTTGGCTGTTTCCCTTGTGTCCACTAACTGCAATGCAACAAATACTGACATTAAAATACACATAAAATAAGATTTTTGTTATTTTCAGTAAGTAAACTTTAGGTCAGTAATTAAAAAAAATAATTACATTGCTTTCATGTTATATTTATATATATTCTCAAAATCATATTTTGAATCTGTAATGAATAATTTAACTAGCTTATTTTTTTATTTCGAATCGACTGTACTCTTTGCTATCGGGTAGGTGGTTAAGGCACTCGACTCGCAATCTGAGGGTCGCGGGTTCGAATCCCCGTACACCAAACATGCTCGCTCTTTCAGCCGTGGGGGCGTTATAATGTGACGGTCAATCCGTTTTTTTTGTTTTTATTCATAGGACATTTCTTAAGCATTCCCGTAGGAATAAATATGTATTGAACCTTTTTTTTTTAATCTAGAATTCTTAACTGGCTTTTTTATAAGCGTAAACACGTTAGTGAACCCATATTATACTTATGAACGTGTAAGCTACTGAAGTATGTACTTCTAATTGTTTTTAGCTTAAACAAAGTACATGAAATGACATTTTTGATCTTACACAGTGTGTGGGTATAGAAATGTTTATAAGCTTTTACCTCTATCTGTAGATAAATAAATAGATAAGACACGCAGATAGAGGGCTATCTACTAGATGGATTGACACATGGATCAATAGTTTGCACTCCATTAGAAAATGGGTTTCTCGTATACTGAATGTTAAGCTAAGTATTTAGTTGAACTTTTAGAAGTCAGCGATCAAGTTGCATGTGAATAAAAAAATAAATAGAATCCTATATAGGCCATCTTAAACTGAAGTGTCCTGTTATTTAATAAGTTTCTTCTTTAAACACCCACGCACAAAGGAATATTTCAAAGTTCTCTTGTTTACTTTGAGCATATTTGCTTAAAATCCTACTCGTAAATTTAGATTTACACTTTAATAACGGTCCCTTAGAGTCATTTTCGAAAACGCCTGTATTATTTCGAGTGTTCTCATTTTGAAAATGGTAAATAGTTCTTTAGGCAGCAAACAGAAAAGAAATAAACCTGCTTAGCTGTTCAACAAAACGAAGTATTTTCTTTCAGACATCGCTGTAAGTTCAATGGGTTTTTTTTTCCTGTTTACTTCTTCATTTCTCATGGGATATGGAGTTTTTCCAGGACGAAACAAAAACTTTTTAAGTAATTTATTACTAGTTATTTATTTTTATTTTTCATAAAGAAGTAACAGAAAACGTCCAATTCCACAAAGAACGAAAAATAGGGATATTATTATAATTATGTTAACCTAAGTTTAATTTCGTATCATACGTACCCGATGGTTGTCTTGGCTCATTCAACTCCACACTTTTACTTCCACGAGCGTTTGATGTTTCATCGTACAGCGAGGAACCCTCTTTTGGAAGAAAGATTAATAAATGAATAAATTAAAGAATAAAAACATCGCCATTTCCTTTTTATATAGTTTTTCCTTATCCAGTTACTAGATAATGCTGTCGTTAAAAATTGTAAATATATTAGTTTTCTCTCTCTTGAAAACGCAAATGTTTAAAATAAGGATCTTAACCATGTTGAAAGCATAAATATTTAACTCACTGTGGTCATCAATAAGGATCTCAACTAAGTTAACACAAACGTTCAACTAGTTGGAGTCATTATATGAGGGCCTTAATAATGTTGAAAATACAAATATTTAACTCATTGTGGTCATCAATAAGAATCTCAACTAAGTTAACACAAACGTTCAACTAGTTGGAGTCATTATATGAGGGCCTTAATAATGTTGAAAATACAAATATTTAACTCATTGTGGTCATCAATAAGAATCTCAACTAAGTTAACACAAACGTTCAACTAGTTGAAGTCATTATATGAGGGCCTTAATAATGTTGAAAATACAAATATTTTACTCACTGTGGTCATCAATAAGAAACTCAACTAAGTTAACACAAACGTTCAACTAGTTGAAGTCATTATATGAGGGCCTTAATAAGTTGAAAATACAAATATTTAACTCACTGTGGTCATCAATAAGGATCTCAACTAAGTTAACACAAACGTTCAACTAGTTGAAGTCATTATATGAGGGCCTTAATAATGTTGAAAATACAAATATTTAACTCACTGTGGTCATCAATAAGAATCTCAACTAAGTTAACACAAACGTTCAACTAGTTGGAGTCATTATATGAGGGCCTTAATAATGTTGAAAATACAAATATTTAACTCACTGTGGTCATCAATAAGGATCTTCTAACTAAGTTAACACAAACGTTCAACTAGTTGGAGTCATTATAT